GGTATTCGACTCAAATTTGGTATATTCTGTAATGTTAATGATGAAACACCAACTAAATATTCAATATCATTAGGTAAATCTTCAAGATTTTTAATGTCGGATAATTCTAAAGTTGATAAATATTTTAATTTTCCGAATTCAGGGGGTAAATGCTGACCAATAGCACCATTATCGTATCGGATTATCAATGACTGTAAGAATTGAAAATTTTTTATATCAGGTAATATGGGTAAATTTGTATTTATTAATTGAAGTCTCTGTAAACTTTTCAAACAATATATACTTGTGGAAGGATTAACATCATTAAATATATTGAAATCTTGAATTTTATTACTAAAGTATTCAACATACACGGATGTAAATGAATCATTAAGGTTGAGTCGCACATAAAACGGATTTCGATTGACAATGTCAAGATCGTCTGCATATATGGTACAATCGACATTTGCATTGGTAACTAAATCAGATAAAATAAAGAAAATTAACAGCCTTTTTTTTTTTAAGAAAATTCTTTTACCTTGTATAATGGTAGATGAGCAAGAGATAATGAATAATAATAGAACGAGTTTCATATTTTTTAAATTAATCTTTTGATTGGAATCTCTTTCGAGTTTTATTGCTGATAAAGTCTCAGAATAACAAAAAAAAGGCAAAGGATACAACTATTATTTTATAAAGAAAAGGCTAAGATAACACTTACTTGACAAAGAAAGAGAACATATGATTCTCAAACTTGCTTCACTAGTGATAAGATGCATCTGCTCTTGTTTATTCTGTGTCGCTTTTTGCGTTCTTTTTTCCATCTGACTTCATTACGAGAATCTGACAATGGAGGATTCTGTATTGTGGGTGAGAAAGAGGGAGCACTTATTCACGTCAAAATAAAACTCTCATCTTCAAACTAGCAATTTAAAATAAGGTGTGCGTAAGTTGAAATATTCGAATCTGAAGTTATTGAGGAAGGGTGAAGGGTGTGAGTGTGAGTGTAGGTGTGGCTGTGGATGTGGGTATGGATGAAGACAATACCTAAACCAACACCCACACCCACACCCATACCCCACCCACACCCACACCCACACCCACACCCACACCCCACACCCTCGTAGTATTTATATCTAAATCTGTATCAAATAATGCACGAGTCATGGAACTCAAAACAAGAATATAATCACGAATTGAACACCAAGCAATGCTTGATAGAAAAACCATCTTTTATAGTCAATCGTGATACATTTTCACTCTAAATTTATTAAATTATTTAAAAAAAAACAATAAAAATAAAAAACTAATTACTTACTAAAGTACCATTAACATTGTATAAGATAAGTTCATCTTTATCATATATAAGAATTTCATCTCGTTTTGAATGACATGCCATACCATAGAAAGTTGATAAAAAACTATGCGATTGTACAGATACTGTTCACGATAATGAGCGACGAATTGTTGAATAAAACGTAGGTATATCAAGTATATTTTTTGAAGGATATCTTTTAAGATCATAAATTGAACCTGTTGTATTTTTGTTCTAAATCAAATAGGTAACAATCGATTAGACTGAAAAGGATCAAATCAAACTTGAATAGATGTTGGTAAATATGTTTATAAATGATTAAGAGAAAGATCAAATAATCTATTTTATCTGTATATGTTGAACATGTAAACGAATACCGTCTGCTATTGAATTTTATCGAATTATATCTCTGTTATACAAGGTTCATTTTCAATTCGTCGATGGATCTAAAAAAACACGTGTTATTTAAGATCTTATCAGTTGTTTTATACTTACAACGAAGAGCAAAAACTTTTAATTGATGTGACATTGTTGTTTTGGTAAGATACAACTTTCTATTTTATTCATAAGTTATAGTATTATTAAATTTATTTTCAATAGTACATGTAATTGAAAAATTTCGACGTAAATGCAACATTATCAAAAGATAACACATTATTTTCCAGGTGGATGATTTCTATATGTTCGTTTACTATCATTATATGGTGAACATTCTTTTGAGTATGAAATTTTTATTCGAATTTCTCAATCATTCCCACTATGATTTATCATCAATCACAAAAAACATAAACAACTTTATAAATCAATAAATCATAATGAAAATTCATCAATTGTTAAATATAATTATCTTATTACAGTTGATATTTCAAAAGTTCATGATAATTATATAGAAGAATTTTTATTTAATACAAAAACATATTTTCATACTAATATTCTTCTTTATATCAATGATTAGTCATTAGAAAGAGTGGCACACAAGTTTACCAGAGATGATACACGAATTAATTATGTTAAAATAATTGAAATTTATTTATTCGAAGGAAAAAATTATTCAAAATTATTGTAAGATTATTATCTTTTTGCAATAATACATTGATTATTACTTAAGTAAAACAAATTTATTATCTTATGGAAAGATCAAATATTTCAAAAAACACAACAGAAATAATATTTATCTAGAAAGAAGTCAATATCATTATGTGTGAAAAGTTCTTATCTGTTAGCAAATTGATTTATATTGCTAGAAATCACTGTAAATCAGTTTATTTCCTCTTAATTTGACTAACATATTTATTTATCACTATGAATGAGAAGAAACTGTCACTAAAAAAAGAGCATTTCTAAACTGAATTTGGTGGTGGAGTAGCCTTATTCTTACCAAATAATTATGATATTTGTCAAGATAAAACTCTTAATTGATATTTGATGCGGAAAAAAATTTGTTCATTTATTATAGAAAATTTTTCTAGTAAAGAATATTGATCATTGAAATTTATATTAAAATAAATAAAAATATTTGAATAATTAATATAAAATTTTACTAAAAAGATATAAAAAAAAGAGTACATTCTTCTAATTGATCAATAAATTAATATGAATTATTTTTATTTAAATAATCAATTAGAAAATGAACTCAAATTAATTAATATTAATAAATATTAACATTTTGTAAAATCAATAATTGAGAGTCATATTTACACTAAAACAAGTATCAAATCGAAAATTTACAAATGAAGTAAATGATTCCATTGTTGACTAAGAGAAAAATATTTTATAATAAATATAACAGTATCAACATGCAAAATCGAGCTTTATCCCAATTTCAAACAAGTATGGCTAATCAAATAGAAATATACCAGCAACGTTTGTGTTTTTTTTTATAATCTATATTGCTAATAAATTAATGAATCAATTTTTAATTTTTTTTTATAGCGCTACTTCACGGTTCACAAACTCCAACTTATGCAACTTTTGGTTCACGAACATCTTAGTATGAAAATACTGGTCGAATAGATCTGATTTCAATGAAACAAAATTCTAATCTCTCTTTCGACGCCTTTTCATGATGATTCAATGACTCTAGCTGCTCATGATGATGCATCAGTTTCATACTTGTCAAATTTTGTAAAAAGAATAGTTTCTTTTCTTTATTTACAATTTTTGAACACTAACTTGTGAGTTTGGTATATGGATTGAGTGAAGAAAAATATTATTTTCATATTCAATAGAAATGATGCTTTGCCAGGTTGACATATAAAGCAAGATAAATCTTATCTTAATGATTGAATAGAGTTTGATAATGTCTACTTCAAACAAGGTTACTATTTGCGGACATCAAATGTTCTATTGAACGCATTTTTCTACAATTATTTTCTCTAACTATTCTTACTTCTAGCCGGTAATTTATACATATGTTTTTTTGTCGTGACTCTCATGTACAAGTGCAAATTTATTTTTCTTCTCTCTTTTCTCAATTCTGAATCATTTATTTGAAGCACAATAACCACATTTTAATAACAAACAAAAAAATTTTTTTCTAAGTTGTTATTGAAGAAAATGTTGAGTGACAACCAAAAAGGATTACTCCTCTGGATAGTAAAGACAAAAAAGCAATAACTATGTTTATGAGTTATAGTTTTAATGAAGAACGGTAACGATTGATTATTGTAGATGGCTCATAAGAATTTCATAAATTTCTCAAAGTTATTTTAAGAGACAATCTATTACTCGATCGAGAAATCATTTCCTCTGAAAAATTTTGCTTTACATCTTTTCGATAATATGATATAAAAGAGCATATAAAATCTACCTATATATCCAAAATTTTAGCCTTGTTTTAATGTCTATTGGCTAAATATGAAGGACATATTGAACATGACACAAGATCTTTAAAAATCTTTCCTCGCGCTCAAAATTTTCAGCAACAATGTCGATC